ATTTATTTATTTATTTATTTATTTATTTATTTATTTATTTATTTATTTATTTATTTATTTATTTATTTATTTATTTATGCCCCATCCATCTAGACCAAAGGTCTACTCTTTATTCAAATGCTGCTTGATTTTTTTTCCATATAGGAAACAGATACTCAAGGCTGGAAGCATGTTCCTGCATATAGGAAAGAATCTATACATCCCTAGCTAGCCATAAAGTGAGATTCGGTGCTCTGTGTGTTTTGGTCAGAAAGTACAGGAAGGTATATGTGGAGAGGATGCTTGCTTTATGCCTATGCTACTATATGCTTTCGTGTTTGGTTATGGTTAGAGGTTTAGACATTCCCTTCTCCCAGAGCACACATACTACTGTAAAAACTTTTTAACTGTTAGAGTAGTACAACAATGGAACCAGTTACCCCAGGAGGTGGTGAGCACTCTAGTGCATTAGGCTTTGAGAGAAAATTGGACAACTATCTGTCAGATCTGCTTTGATTTGGATTACTACATTGAAAAGGGGGTGAGGCTCTATGGTCTTATTAGATCCTTTCCAACTCAATGATTATAAGACAAGGGTAGCTGGATTGGCCATAAGAAAAACCCCTGTAGAAAAACTGAGCATCAGCAGAGTCCCAGATTGGTGTTAGGAATATGCATTGATTCCACTCACTCTGGAGTGTGCATTCTGTGGATCAGCATTAGGAGAAACATCTACAAAAATTTATCTTGTATAGAAACTGTAGTTTCCTATAGGGTTTCCTGTACATCTGATACCAAGTTTGTTGTAAAGAATATTTCTCAGATTTTTTGTCCCACTTCAAGATGGGCTCTTGATATAAAAGTTGTGTTATCAAGGGTAACAGTACATTGTTTATTATATTCAGGATTGGGTGGCATTAGGTGGCTTCTGTTGCAAAGATCTACCTGTTTTGCAGCATTTCCGTGACAGTGATTAGCAAGTTATTTGGCAGTTTAATTCCACTGAGGCCTGGCTGTGCTGTCTACCTCCCAAAGGAGATCTGAGAAAGACATCTGAATTTCACTATCCTTGTCCGTGCTGTTTACAGGACTTGCGCGACAAGAATGACGAACTGCAAATGGAGGTGGAAAAACTATGTGCCCAGCTGCATGGAAAAAAGCAGAACCTAGCCGAGCATAAAATGAAGGCCAAGAACCCTGGAGGAAGGATCCTGCCTGAAAATGCAAAAGCCAGAATTCCAGGTGAGTGATACCAATTGTGCACAATTGCTCAGAAGTTTCAAGTGAGACAGAAGAAATTAATAATGGCCCCATTGAATTAGGAATAGGATCCTTCTTCCTCATCCCCTTCTCACAGGCAGAGGACAAAATGATAGCTACTTCTTAATCTGTGCTGGCCGGTCAAAAATGGAGTGGTAGATAAAATGTATATCTCGTGTTTGACTTAGTGTCACAGAAGCAGTCCAGTTATGGTATGTAAGAAAGACAGATCACTAACTTTTGATTTTATTTATAAATGCCTCTCTGCTATGTGATGGTATATGTTAAAAATACACACTAAGATTCCAAAAACAAACAAATGCTTTGAACCTTGGTAAGTTGAAATTAAATATATCCATTGCTTCACTCATTTTATTTGTTTCAGCCTTTTCCACTTGATCCACCAAGATCTTACTTTGCTTCCCTCTCTTAATTAGATGTGTAACTATAGGTAGTACATTTTGGTGCAGCTCATCTTTGCCTCGGGCATGGAATGTTTGTATTATGGTTCTTGGCTTTTTATTAACTGCACTTGTATTTCTTGATTACAGTGTCACCCTACTAAAGAGAATGGCAAAGTGTAGCCTTGGAGCCTCTAAAAATAGGACTACACAGTGGAAGAATATAGTTTCATCTGCTGTCATTCGCACCTGTGGAAATCTGGTTTCCATGGGTGAAATCAGTGTAGCCATTCAGACAACAGTTTACAAGAGTCAGCAGGGACAGAGAACTTAATTTGCATAGAGCTCCAAGAGTAGAAGCTGTCTTAAGGTGCTAACAAGGGGCCAGTTGGCAATTTCCATCTCTTTCTCTTTTAAATTCTTCCTCTAAGTGCTATAATGATCATGTATTCAAGCACTGAGATAAAACCTTTGCCCCCCGAAAAAGAAGCTGTTTGGAGGCAAGCGTGCTGGTTCAGAGAAAAGGCACCTCCATAAGTGCCCTTTTGTGCTGGATCAGGAAATCATGCTGGGCAGAAAGTAAACAAAAACAATGTGATTGGAACAAACCTAAACCACCCTTGCTATCTGAGTAGCAACAACAAAATTGATGATTCTGAGCATTCTAGGTATCTTGCTACATTGGGCCTATGCTAGAATTTGTTTTGTCATGCTTATAGGATGGTCCATTCATTCATGTTTTGAAGCAGGTTGTGGGTCACAAGGCCCTATTCTTCCCGTTCTGCTATCTTAAACCAGTCTTTGAACTTATTAATCACAAAATATAACATTTTCTTTTAAGACAACATGCAAAGAAACAATCAGGTTCTTCTTGGATGCCCGAACGTACCAACCACAGGCCATAATGGTAAGATACATAATAATCACATCGTAGGTATACTTCCTAAACTGATTCATGTCGGAGAGTCCAAATACTGGAATGTGCCCTAAGAATTATCCCAACATTTCTTTTTAATTTTTTAAAAAATTTAAATAAAGACAAAGGAGTATACATCATCGTGTCGCATACAACTGAGTGATACACAGTAAGCAGAAAAGTTAAGGAGTCAGGGAGAAGGGCAAGGGGCATGGGATAAAGAGTAATAGAGAGTGTGCCAGTTATACTATCTAGTAATCTAATACATTTAGAGGAATTAATCATTGTGCTTCTGTATGATAGAAGCTATTCAAAACATTATTCAGTAAGGTAAATTAATGTTCATAAGGCAGATTAATTTCCAGAACTGAACATGCAACCTCTGGCTTTGCCGCCAGGTACCTAACTCAGCTATCCAACCAGCATACAGTACTTCATATGAAATCCACTATACAGGAGAAGTGCTAACTAAAGAAAACTGAGTTTTTATTACTGTAACCGAGAATGGCCTTGGTAGCTTTCTCTTTGTGTGTGTTTCTCTTTCTCTCAAAAGCTCAGAGGGGTAATGAAGGATTTGCCAAATCTTCAGAAGGAAAGGCTGGGCATTGGCACTGTTTCAACCTTGGCCCAAGAGTATCTGAATTTCATAGGCTTCCCTGTTTATAATGTGCATGAACTGGAGAAAGTGGACAGCGAAGGTGTGGGTGTTCACTAGCGAGTACCTCCTTTGTTGTGGAGGCAGCTGCATGTTGGTGTGCCCAGTTATTGGAAAAATTGTTTTGTTTTATAGGTCTTGTTTTCACTGAGTCTGATCCCCCCTATTCAGTAAGTCTACAAATGGAGCTTCTGGTAGAAGAACTGAAAGAGCATCATCAAGATCTGAAAATACAGCTGGAAACCAAGGTGAGTTAGGGAGAACGACTCAGATTATGTCAAATTAAAATCATCATAAACTTTGTAGAATCATTTCTGCATTCAGTCTTGAGTACATGTCTACATTTAAACCAACATAGGCTGTCTGCATCTCTTGGGAAATGATGTTTGTGATTACATATTTTTAAATTAAAATGGCTAGCAATATGGGACGGGACACGTTATCATTATGTGTTTGCAGGACTTGTAAGAGCGAATTTATATAGAATGGTGGACTTGGTCTATTAGTGTCTGACAATAAAGTGCTTTTAGTTCTGACAGAGTGTGGGGGCTCAGAATGCACAGAACCAGTGTTGTGCAGGTATTTCATACTTTTAAAATGTTAATTTTTAGGCGTGCAGGTCAAGGTGCATGTAATTCTAGTTGTTGAAACATATAATCTTGCTTCTGTGACTATATCATTAAGCTTGGACTAATAATTTGAAAGTAGTTTGTACATTTATTAATCTTCCTACCTAAAAGATGCCTAAAAATATTTGGACTGTTCTAGGTCAATTACTACGAAGGGGAAATAGAAAGAATGAAAAATAACTTCGAGAAGGAGAGGAGGGACATTAAACAACTTTTCAAGATTGAGATAAGTGAATTGGAAGAACAGAAGAGTAATTTGGAACAACTGAATACGAAATCTCAAGAAGTTATTGATGGCTTGAAAGAGCAACTTCAGAAGCTAAGTCCTTTCCAAGAACTGCAGAAGAGTTTTGAGAAGGAGAAGTCCGAAATGGAGCAGTATTATGCCAAAGAGATTTCAAATTTAGGACAGAGACTGGCCGAGGAAAGGGATAGATTGGAAGATGACATGAAGATGACACACAAGACTGAGATGCACCTCATGAGGTCTGGTGGCCTTTTTTTTGGTAATTCTTAAATATGGATGACAATATAATTATTGGTTGCCATTTATTTCAATATATATAAAATCCTACTGCATTGGAAAAACAGATTTTGCACTACAGTTAGTAAACCATGCTAATCAGTAAAGAAAATAGTAGAAAAAACAAGAGGGGCAAAAACCGTCCTCACTATTAAGGAAACTTTGCATACTCCAGTGTAGTTTTTCCTGGTCTCTGGATAAGGAGATGATGGGGCAATTTTTAGGAAACATGTCAATTATGCTGTGAAGTATCTGCCTTGTCCCTTGTAGTTCCTTGGTATCTCTCTAAAGTCCACATGCAGTGTATTTGTTCCAGAGCACTTACAAACATTACAAAATCAATCTGAAGCATTTTCAGGAAAAATAGTGGTTCTCTTGGCTTTTTCATAAGTCTTAATTGTGGCAGATTGCCCACCCCTGCTTTAGAGATAAGAGTGACCCTTCAGATGTGATTGGATTGCAACTTCCAGTATTCTTCACCAGTGACTATCCTGACTAGGCCTGATGGGAGTTGTAGTCTTAACATTTGGCTCAGTTAGAGCAGGACTAATGAATATAGCAAATCAAACCATGCTAGGTTCAGGAAGAAATGTGTATGAGACATCCAGTGGCCAGAAACTCAGTCTTTGAAACATAGACGTGCAGAATAAAGTGCATACAATGTGACCTTCAGAATTATTATGTATGCCTTGGTTTATAAAGAAGCCAGGTGGCTTAAAAAAACCACAAGATCTGCTAGTTTTAAGAAATTTGTAGAAAAATTAAATGGCATTATGTGATTTTAAAGGCTTTAACGGAGAATTCCATAACCTATTTTCCCCTTCTATGTGCTATTAATTTTCTTTCTGTTGTAGTTAGCCTGGTGATCCAGAAAACAAATACTAGAGGCCCACATCCAGATGGCAGTATGCCCATTCCTAATCCCTGGTCTAATACTGTATGATTTCAAAACAGTTATTGAGATGTTTGGCAGGAAAGAGTTGTGTGATCTTTAAGTGAGTGCCAGACTTGAAATGCAGCTTGAAAAGTTAATGGCTGCAAGAGAAGAAAGGAAGGTGGTTTCACTCTCAAGGTGGAAATCCTGATACAGTATGTACACTTGCATTGGAATAAACCCCACTGAACTACGTTATTTATGTCTGAGTAAAAATGCTCAGAATGTTTTGGTTGCTGCGATTATGTGCTGTTAACTTCCTTGCAACTTACGGAAACTCTAATAGGGTTTTTGAGACATGTGAAATGTTTGAAGAGTGAGTTTACCAGTGTCATCCCTACCAAGTTTCCATGGCTGATCAGAGGTCTGAACCAGGCCTCTGAGTCCTTGTCTAATATTCTACCCACTACACCACACTGTCTCTTTTTGGCTAAAGCTATAAATCTTTCCTTTATAGTGGTGTAAGCTTTCCCTTTACATAATTCTTAACTTCAGAACTATTCCTGAAAGCCATCTGATAGTTGGTAAAAGAGAACGTCCATGTAATTAGCAGAGCCGGGGGGGGGGGGGAGAAAGACACAGAGATTAAAAAATAATCTGACATTAGTACCATTATGAGCTTTGGAAAATGTAAAGTCCATATGAATTATCAGAAGCAGTATCATTAAAGGCCAGGATCAAGAGACCAGCTCTTTGCTAATGGAACATTTTATCCAGAGAGGTCCAGGTAAAATACCACGAGGCCTCCAAATGATTTTGCAACTTTTAAATAAAGTTATTTATATCCTGAAATTGCTGAGAAGTAAGAGGCCAGCGTCAGGTGCCAGTTGCTCCACTTTCTTCAGCTGGGATGGCAAGCAAGACTAGACATTGTGGTTTCTTTCTACCCCTGGTGATGTAAACATTAACAGAAAGAATAGATCCCGTGTGTTTATTAGTTATCTGTACTGTCTATATGTATTTCCTGTCAGACCAGTTCCTTTGCTGAATATTGCACTCAATTTAAGCCAGAACTATGGTTAGCCGTCCCCTTCTTGCTCTCCTACAGCTTGACAGCTGGCAGAGCAAAGATATGAAACACCTGCAGATAACATAAATATCAATGCACCATGTCTCCTGCAAAAAAAAAAATAATCAATTTTTCAAGTACTGGCCACAATCCTGTTGCTGATTTGTGCTTGTAAAAGGGCCATTACATAAATCTGGGTGGAAAATTCAGCTCATTTACAAAGCACTGGTTATATTCCTGAACACACACCTGATTGTGCAGTTGGACATATGCACAGGAACGCAACCAACGCCTTGTTAATGAGCAGCAATTTATCACCAAGATTTATATTGTTTCCCTTATGGAGGCATAAATTAGCCATAGGATTCTGGCCATTGCTCATCATTGTCCACAGATGTATTCTGCAAACCTGAAACATTCCAAGAAGTAGCTTTTATACGGGCAGGGTCTTCTGATAGTCATTAAGTGGAGGCATGTTAAAGTCTTCTGTGGAAGCAACTCTTCCTTGGTCAGATGAGTTTAACCACTGATCTTTTGGAGTCAGACAGAACAGATAATTCCATTGCATGAAACTTGCACATTCTTTAGAACCATCTACTGGAGGATTGGAGTTTACACATAGGTTAGAAAACTAGAAAGTAAGATGGGTTCAGAGTTCTAGGTTAGGAGCCTCATGACACAGTGGTTAAATTGCAGTACTGCAGTCAAGCCTCTGCTCACGACTTGAGTTCAGTCCTGATGGGCTCAGGTTGACTCAGACTTCCATCGTTCTGAGGTTGATAAATTGAGTATGCAGCTTACTGAGGGGACAATGTGTAGCCTGCCTAATTAAATTGTACACTGCTCAGAGAGTGCTTTAAGAGATACAGGGTGTTATATAAGCAGCACTTTACTTTTGCTTCATGATTCCTGCGCTGGTAGAAAATCAACCACACTTTTTTCTTAAGTTCCTGTTATAAGAAGAATAGGCTAGGAGTGGATTGAAAAAAAGGACGCTGGGGGGATTTGTATATTCTTAAGCCCCTCCAAACTAGCAATGATCTTATCTGAATAGTTCAGTTCTTAGTGGCATTTCAAGTGGATCGGATGGACATTCAAATCCCCTTTAAGTCATTGATAGTTCAGCTCTTAATATTATGTTCTGCTCTAACCTTTGTCTGAGGCAGAAACCTATTAATTACTGCCATAAATTGGGTACAAGACAGTTTATCATCTGCTGAGACATCTGAGGAAGACTTGCCTGTATAAGCATATCACAAAAAGCTTAGACAGGTACAATTGGATAGGTTTATAAAGTGGTTTAATTTTTAGTAGCATAGGAGGGATGGTAAGTTGTTTGAAGGTCAGCAAAACATCCTTGACAGCTGGCAAGGTAGGTAACTAATTAATAGAAGTTAATAGATCCACTTTGCAGGAGTTCATTCAAGGACCAGGTTATGTCTCTGTGGGGCTGCCAGGAGTTATCTGTTTTCATTGTTCCGGCAGAGATGGGCCCTGACCTGATTTAGTTGCAATGTCCATGTACAACTTGAATTTGAAATAGCATTTTTAGTTCCAGCGGCAAGTTGGCTTGGTTCTGGTAACACAGCTGACTGTTTTTGCAGTTAATCTGAGCCAACCACTTCCTCAGGACTTAGTTGCTGAGGATTTGATTGTAGAGTGTGCCATTTCTGAGGGGAAGTTTCAAAAGAGGTGGACAACACAGTTTTTCCATTTGCAAAAGCAATTTGTTCATAGATCCCTTTCGCCATGTTTGCTACTGTAGTCAAAAAGTCTGTAAAAAACATAAAGCTACTATAGTCTCATATCTTCTAAAAGTTTCTTTCGCATATCCTCTGAGGGTTTCTGGTCAGACATGCATACATGTATCACTCGAAGAAAATAGCTTTTTCAGCTGAAAAGCCTGACCACTCTAAGGGGCAAGAGTCATTTATGTCTAGGGCAGCATTTCCTGTTTTTGAGTTCTGCAGAGGGAGAGGAAGGGAAAGAAAAAGGCTAAAAAAGAGGGAGTGAGTGAGTTGTAAAATATTTAACAATGCATTCAAACAGACAAAATTCATCTGTCTTATACTGGTTGACGAGACAACCGCATGGATGGAGCAACCGTATATTTTGCTTCCTGGTATAGATTGTAGAAATATGGGTGAACAAAAAGAGTAGCTTACAACCCTGAAGCCAGTAGCCCTCTGTAAAAAAACAGACATCATTTTTTAAACAAAACAAACAGTAATCCAGGAGCAGTAGTTTTTAGTCTGCCAACTTGGAGGAGAGTCCCATAAGGCCACCTTTAACTTGCTCCAAAAAGACCAATATTAAAGTCTGGGATACTGAATCCAACTTGGCTAACAACTGACTTTGCCCACACAGCTTTCAATAGAGGGACCCTAATAATCCATTTAATAGCTTTCAGCTAGTTGAAAGTGGCTAATTTCATTGCTTGATTTCTCTCATGTCTCCAGACTAGCTCTGTATTACATGTCACATAATGTACATCACAGAAACCTTCAGTAATTCTTTCTTCTGCCTTGTAGAATGGAACTTCACAGAATTTCAGAAGACAACGTGCTTCTAAGAAATAAACTTCTGAGGTTTCAGGAAGAAGTGGAAGATGCTGGTGAAGCAAACATAAAGCACAGGTAAAAAAAAACCTTGTGGAGTTTTTCAGCTTGCAAGTCTTCCAGTTTAGGAGAATGAAGATTAAAATATATTTTTTCTGAAGAGGGCAATAAGACGTTTTGGTAATTTATAAAATGAAAACCTTTGTGAAAGGAATGCAGGGGCTTAGATACATCAGTATATCACTTTAGCTATCACTGTCTTCCCAGGTATTTCCCAAGCTTTCCTCCTGCTTAAACCTTGCTTGTTAATTACAGAGGATTAAGTCTTATTTAAGGGATTAAATGTTAATTACAAATTAAGAGGCTTAGGTCTGGAGAACTATTAACCATTCAGAGAATCACAGACTTGTTTCTGCCTTTATTGAAGGCTGCAATTAGGAAAGGTTGCAATTAGGAAATGAATTCCTTCTAATGAATTATTATTTAATTATTCATCCTGAAGGAAAAAAAATAATTTTCACAGAATGAGTGGTATTTTGTAGATGTATGTGTGGGGAGTGGTTTTTTTTTAAAAAAAATCTTCCATTACGTGCTGAAAAACTGTAATCTACTTGATGGATAGATGGCTGGACATTCTACCTTGACTTCTCTGTGGGCGTGCAACTTTCAAGCAGATGCTATATCTGAAAAACAGCCTTTGCACTGCTGAACTTGCCCACTCTTTGACTAAGGTATCATTTATTTGTGAAGATGCATTTCCTTCTGTCCTCTTTATTTATTTATTTATTAAATTTATACCCACCCATTTAGACCACGTCTACTGTGGGTGACTTACAATAGGAATATCATAAAACAACAATTTAAATCAGTAATATTAGTATCATTCAAGATGGAAAAAGTATAGACAAAAATTAAAATAGAAAAGTAAAAATCAAGTATTGACAGGAGGGGAGGCTTGCCTAAAGAGCCAGGTCTTAAGTTGGCTGTTGAAAACACGGCCCTTGCACTGAAGTTGCAGACAATACTGACTCTTGTCCAGCCAGATGTTAGTAATGATTTAAGAGCCTTTCCTTTCAGTGGAACACCCCTTAATCCTGGTCAGTATTCCAGTGGTTTCTGTGTGTCTTTGTCAGGGTCCACCTTGTGCACAGTCGCCTTCAACAGCAGGGGCAAGGGCACCAGGATCCAAACGACAGCACAGAGGGCCAAGTCCAGGCTCACACACAGACCAACTAGCCAGGATAGGAAACCAGAGCACTGGGACTGGAACCAGGCCACAGGATTGGGAGCAGAATTGCAGGGTGAGGAATACCAAAGTTCAGAGCAAGAACGGGAGCCAAAGCACAGAACCAAGAACAACCAAAGGCCTATGTTGCTGAGGTAGCTTCCAGCAGGAAGAGTCCTTCCTTAAGTAGGCCTTCCCTCAGGACTCCCAGGTGGACCTCACGATTGCCCCAGTAGCTGCTGCCCCAGCAGGGTTTGATCCTGCAAACACTGGGCTTTTCCTGGGAACGAGCTGGCCCCGATCCTACAGATGCCAGGGTGGTGGTGCAGGGGAAGCCCTGCCGAGACCCAGTTCTTGACAGTCTTTACCGTAGCACTAGCTGAATTGGAGGTGTGGAACCAACGACCTTACGATTCAATAAGGATTCCCTCCATCTTCCTTCCTGGAAAAGGCTGCAGCTGAAATCCTGTCTGCTTCTGGAAGTTTCTTCAGTGACATTGTATTTACATATCTGCTGTTTGACCCAGGCTAGCTTTTGCATCATAAGTTAAGACTTGCCTGTTAACAAATTAAACAGAATACTTGTGACCTAAATTCTGAACATAGGATTAGACTGTGTTATACACAGTTCTCTAAAGTAACAGCTTGAAGGCCTGTCATACAGTTTATTTATATGTATAAACAGAGCATAAGGTTAATACTCATGTCAGTTTGCTAGAGGCACAAGCCTGCACGCAAGCTCTTACTTAGTTCTGTGACTTTGTCTGTTCCCTCAAAGTGCCAGTTTGTTTAGAGATACAGTTTCAGTGGTATCTTTTCTGGGTGGGTTGGATTGGGATCTTAGCCCAATTCCCATATGGCTCCCTTATTCTAATAGAACCCATCCTTTGAGAGATGTCTCTTTAACAAATGCAGAATAATAGACACAAGGAAGACTCAATAAATGAAGCCATGGCGTTGAGTTTGCAAGACCTAAGCAGGCTATTAATGATAGGATCTTTTTTGGAAGGCATTAATTCATAGGGTCACATGAGTCTGAAGTGACTGGACTTTACAAAACAACACCAGGCCACTCTGCATCAGCCATCAACTTGATCTCTGGCAGTCCTAAATTCTGTTGGGGGTTTCCTGACTGAAACCCCCTCTTTCAGCCAAAAATCACAAGGCAGGAAGGAATGCCTGTAAAGTCATCTAAACTAACTCCATTTCTCTTGATGATATGAATGGTGTATTCAGTATTGTGAACTATGAAGCTATGTACGGTGTGGGCTGTAATTTTGTACTGTTTACAGTAACATATAATTTTATACTTCAGAGTATGTTTAAACAATAAAAAAGCTGGGTTAATCAAAAATTACGTGTAGTACAATTTTAATGATTTCTCCTCTTTTCAGGAAGCAAATTGAGGAACTGAAGATAGAAAAGGAGAAGGCCATGTATACAATAGAAGAATTAAATCAACTGGTAAAATATGCATAAGCAATCAGAACACAGTTATATTTTATTTCTCACAGGGTCTGATTTTGGTACTTGAATCCCTGCTCATAGCATCACAGGATGTTTGGATTTGCAGCTAGGGAGATCACACGTGTTATTTTCGGCATCTCCATGGGACTGGTGGCAGGTGAGGGGAAAAATATCTGGCTCTGACTCAAGCTGGAGAACTGGTGCCAGAAATGTGGGAAACTACCTTATACTAAGCAGACCATTGATTAGCCCAAGAGACATGGATTTGCCTCTTTGCTATCAAATAATATTTAGTTAAATTTGGATTTCCAATAGAGATAGGCACTTACTGTTTTGTCCTACTTTGTACAAAGCAGTTGGCATGGCACCACAGGTGCAGCGCGCTTCCTTCCTCCCCCCTGCCCAGCTGCCTTACTCACAAGCCTAGGTGCGCCACTTGGCTATTCCTCTGTTGCTGGCTTTTCAGTCTGGGGAGAAGCCCACGCTTGCCTTCCCCACCTCCTCCAGCAGCCAAGCAGACAGTGGCTGAGCAGGGAGAATCCCTGTCCCGCCTCCTCGTTGGAGTGGTTGGCTGCCAGAGGAGGCTGGGAAGAGAACCCTTCCTCGTTGGAGTGGTTGGCTGCCAGAGGAAGCTGGGAAGGGAACCCCGAGCACCTGCCTAGACTGGAAAGTTGGCAATGGAGGATGACCTGGGGCAGGGCACACCAAGGCTTGTGAGTTGGGCAGCCAGCTGGGGGTGGAGGAAATGTGTGGCACCTGTGGTATGAAGCAATTTGTGCCCATCTTTTAATTTCCTATGCTAAAACCCTGCACTGTCTACCTTGCAAAGTATCGTTGCTTAAATATTAATTGGTGTTTGTCTTTGAGAGTCTCTTTGAAAGCTTAGATGTTATCTTGGAGTCTAGTAATTGGCTGCACTGTGTACTACCTGCAGTGCTTCTAAAACATCTAGTTGACTCTGCATTAACAAAAGCAAAAAAAAAAAAAAAGCCTCCAGCCCCAGATGCTGATTTTAGTTACTCCTCCTGACCCTTCTCACAATCCAGTGAGAGACTGCATAACACTAATGGGAAATTTAGGGCCACATTTCTTCACAACAGATAATGTAGGACACGTTTGATGAGATGCTTAGGCTTAGGGCTTAATATGATTCTTTTCCTCTCCCTGCTAAAAATACACTCCCCTCCCCTCTCTTTTTTTTGGGCTGTGTGAGAGCCACAGCTTTGAATGTCTGAAATGTCTTGCTTCAGAATCATCACTACAATGAAGAAATCTTCCACTTGAATGCCAGGACTGATCAGCTGAGCCATGAACTCTCTGAACTAAGCAGCCTTAATAAGGCCAATCAGAATACAATCACTCTACTGAATCAGAGGTTTGTTGAGCTGGAGAGCCAAAAAGAGCACAAAGCTGCGGTTGCCAAGCGACTTCAGGAGGCCTCTGCTGAATTAACAAAGGAGCATCTTCAGCAGCAGTTGGCATGGCAGGAAGAAAAGGCTGTGCTGGAGGGACAGCTCAAGGCCTCTGGGGAAAAGGTAGCATTGTTTTAAACAGGAACTTTCAATTGTTCAGAACAACACATTGATTCATGCTTTAAAATCCCTCTGCAGAAATAGCAAACATTATGTCTACCCAGTCGTGGTAACATCGTAGGTAACCCAGCATTAGAAAAATAGTGAGGTAAATGAAGTTGACAGTAATCTCCAGTTCATTTTGGAGTGTAGGACTAGTAAAATTTTCTTCATTTACTCCAGTTTTTCCATTCTTGTAGTACATGGGGGTGATCTTTGTTTGCTCAGTATATATGTAATGGCCAAAGATATGGATCATGATTGTAGAGTTGTTGTAGAGTTGTGTGGCACGAACGTCAGTGGTAAGCATGGATGTTTGTGATGCGTATAGGATTGCCTTGTGTTAGAGAGGGAATATACAACCTACTGTATATTCCAAATATACAGCCTACTGAGAAATGATGTACAAAAATTCTGTAGCGTCTTGCATTTGCTTCCTTCTGTCATGCAAGCTTCTGAAGCTAGATATATATGTTTCCTGGGTGGAAGAATAGGGTTCAGTAAGACTCTTTAATGGTCAACCCTTCCTTCTGATCGTTGCCCTCTCTCATGTGCCCTTGCGTCAGTGGAGTGGCTAGATTGCTGGACTAGAACTCTGGAAACATAGGCTCAAATGCCGACGTCACCATAAAATGGATCGGGTGACCTTGAGGCATATTCTCTTAGCCTACCTCTCAGGGCTGTTGTGAAGATAAATGGGAAGGAAGAGAGCCAAGTACACTGGCTCAAGCTCATCAGAGAAAAGGTGGGATAAGTGTGTAACAATGGGGGGAGGAACCCACCTGTGTACCTTATTTAAATTGTAAACGTTATGGACATTTTTATGCTTTGGGATATACGTACTGTATAGTGCTAGCCTGCAGTTAAGTAAACGTGGGTTTTCTTGTACACATGAAGATGTGTGTTGCCTAAATAAACCCATAGACTAAGCCTATAAATATAGCAGCATAATAGGTTTAATTTGTTTATCAACTGAGTAGTCTATTAAATTTGTTACACAATGTAATTTGACAAGAGCTTCCCTTCAAGGCCTAACAGAAAGAAATGACAGATGTTGTGAAACTGTCACAAACAAGGCTTAGTTTGCAGGACTTGATACTGAAGGATATCACTTAGCAACTGGTGTCCCTCTCCTTTTTCACTTGCTTTTTGAACAGACAAGCCAATTTCAAGAGCTAGAGATTGAACTGGAGTGTTTGACAAAGGAATGTCAAATGTTACAGTTAACAAAAGCACAACTGACAGAAGAGGTGGCGGACTTCCGGGATCAGGTAAGGTGATGCTGCTGTTCCAGCTGAATCTGGTTCAGCTGACTCTGACTTACTGTGACCAACACTGGCTGTTGCAAACAGGGACCTCTGCATTGTGGTAGCTTCCTGGGATAGGGGTAGAAAGACTGAGGTCGGGATAATAGAAATGTGTCTAAATTATTTACTATGCATAGAAAATACAGTCTCATGATTAAGAATTTCAGAGGAAAATGCTGTGGTGATGGTGAGGAATAGTGGTATTGTGGTTCATAATTGTAATAAATGGTGGTGTTAAATTATTTGGAGCTGTGTGAATACAGCATGGAAACAAATGAATAAAAAACCAGTAGTAAGGGGAGGTCCTAATAGCATTCATTTTTTCCATGTATTTTGCAAATACTGTAATCCCAAGTAGAAACTCATGCATTTCCAGCAGATTTTCTGTTTCCTCTTAACATTCCTTAAGGGAATTAAGAGTAGATAACTCTGGTATGCATTCTGTAGCATTTTCAACATTGTATGCAAACAATTTTGGAAAAAAACAAATGAAATGAGCTTTCCAAAACTGTTTACATAAAATATTAATAGATATGCATCACGTGTACATTTCCAACTAGGTACAAGTTTAAAATACTGTCTTGTTTGAGTGTTTTAAGTTTCTACATGCAGATGCCGATTACTTGTTACAATTTTCTGTGCAATATAGTAAGTCTTGGTGTGACAGTATTTCCCTCCCCCCCCCTTTCATTTTAGTTATTGGAAGCCAAAACAAGCTTAAAGCTGGCAGAGTCTCAGCACACGCAGGAGCTACAGCAATTAAGGGGCCAGGTGGAGAATTCTGTATCCAGAGATAGCCTTGCTGAAGTAGAAAACAGATTGGCAGAAGAACAGAAGACAGTTAGGCTGTTGGAAGGCAAGCTCAGTTTTCAGGCAGAGCAGATGAGATGGCAATTGGCCATATATCAGGTAAGAAGGAATTATATTGCAAGATAAGTAGGTCTCATGGCGGGAGCATTTGGACGTAATACTCAACTCTCACTTACTGCTGTGTGCCTAGGCAGGAAGTGCATGAAGCCTTGAGCTTGTGTGCTTCCACCTTCTCCTCTTGTGATGGCGAATAGGAAGAAGAAAGAACTGAATTTTACTTCAACAGATTCCACATTTGTCCTTGTATGTGAATCAGAGAACTAGAAAGCATCATTTAAAAGATATTCTGGTAATGGCTACCCAAACAGCAACAAAATCTGAGCTGTTTGTTGAACATACTCTCAAGTTCCTGATCCTTTTGTGATTTTATAGTGCAATACAGCAAATGCTCCTGAATGGCTTCACTTCCAGATTTACACATGACTTGATAAATGGGCTTGAGTTATTTCTTCTGAAATGACTGTTTAAAAAATAAAATAAAAATCTTCGGACTCCTAGATGTAAACAGAGTGAACGGCTCAAGAGTAGCTGCTCAAACTAACTCCCATGGTCTTATGATGTTGATTGCTGCCCCCCCCTTTTTTCTTCAGGAAGAACATGAGAACTCACACCGGCTGATGGAAAAAAAGTTGGGGGAAGTGGAAATGAACCTGAAGAATGCACAACTGTTGCTTCAAGAAAAGATGACGCAGCTTAAGGAGCAGGTCAGCGCGAAAGGAAGGCTCGTCATTTTCTGTGAAGGGAGTGGGAATTAACGGGTCTGAAATTGAGGTTCCCATGATCTGCTACTTAGTGTTAAAATTACACAGAACCTGGGAAATTATACAGAACCTGAGTTGTTCTAAAGTAGTTCCTGTCTTCTCAGTCCATGTTCACTTTCTACAGTTTTATCTCTTTAGGGCCACTTCCATTGGCTTTGGCCTTTGAGCCTGGATGAGTAGGCTCACAGAGTGTCAAGAGTGCCTAATGTCCAACTGCTACTCTGTGGATGAGAAGAAAGGGACGACCTCGTCACCTTTGACGTGATCCTGGCCCTGGAGATCTTGTTTGACCCACCCTCCATCCTCTGTGAATGGAATGAGGCAGGCAGGTCAACACCTGTGCAAGCTGCAGCAGTATTCTGCAGCTGATGCCTGTGTTAGAAGCCCAGCATCATCGGTTCCCCTAGCTGGCAAGGCCAGTGGAGCATAGATCCACTCTAAACTCTCTATATTGTGTGTGCGCGCGCGTCATAAGGGAGAGACCAGCTGATTTAAAAGGCTGTAGCAGCCAACCCCTTTCCTCAAAGGAATTTAACAAAGCGATTATGAAGGCAGCACTTATGTCCTACAGTTTTACTTTTGACATAACTATTTTAAAAAGTAGGAAAAAAATTATTCTCAGGAAAATGAAAACTGCTGCATGACCACATCCCACCCAGTGTAGTCAAGCCCCATGGGAGACATTACTTACTGTCCATGTCACACCCACCACTGTCCCTTCAGACTGATATAGGCAATCACATATGCCAGAAACCAAAAGAATGTGGAACTGTCACAAAAAGATGTAGCTCCTGCCGGTCAGACATTGACCAGTTAATAAGCAATGAGCTTTATGTCAAGTAGTTCACAGAAAATGGATCAAAATAGTGACAACTGGAGCTCAAGAGTATTCTGCAGTGTGGTTGAGCCCCTACCCACAAAATCTGACTTGCCCCAATTTCAAACTTTCTGATCCAATTTTAAAATGAATTTGTTACGAGTGAACAAATACACGTGTGGGTGGAAATGCATTTCTAATGAAATAATAGCAGCATATTTGGTTTCTGTAACTGAATTGTGATAAACAGAATGGTATTCATTTTCCTTTCCAGTTTGAAAAAAATGCCAGGTCTAACCTACTGCTAAAGGAGATGTACGTGGAAAATGCACACCTGATGAAAACCTTGCAGGTTGCAGAACAAAAGCAGAAGAGCACAGAAAACAGGAACTTAATTCTGGAGGAGAAAATTTCATCCCTGAACAAATTAATTAGAGAAGTTACTCTGGCATCCCAATAAATTTAATGTTTTTGAATTATGTTCTGTTGAACTGGAATAGACAATCACAACTAAAGACATTTCATTGTTGGCCAGCTTTGCTGTATTCTGGAAGTTGGTAATGCTGGTGAAGAACCTCTTCCAGAAGGCACAGTAACTAGCAGGGGAAAAGCATCTCAGGGAGACATTTGAAATCTACTAGCAAAAAATTAGACGCCCACTTACCTTATTTTTCCAATGGAAAATCTAGCAATTTTAGTGCCTTACGGATTATTTTCCCAGAAGCAAACATGTCAGCTCTGGTTGAACTAAGAGCATAGTTATTGTGAAAAACAATACTCTCCCTGGCCTCCCATTTGTCTATACACTGGTTTATATTATGTATATGTGTACAGTTTTCTATAAGTGTGTAATATTCATTCTTCAAATCGCATTCTATATATGGACAAATCTGCTCTAAATGAAAAGAATCTGCTGTGCTTTTTTTTTTGCTTTAAGCAATAGTTTTTATTAAATGCTATTTATATTGCTTGTACTGCTTCATTAGATTTTATCTGTGTGTCTCTACTGAACATATGCCTGTCTTAGGGTAATGGAAAAGCATGTTTGTAATTGGAGTCTATATGAAGGCAAGATATATGGTTTCGGTGTTGCTCCATTTACCCAGAGGGTGGGGGGAAGACAATGATGTTTGTGTAGCTCTCTCCAATCTCCAACCAGTAGCCATCTGAAACCAGAAGAGAGTGCTATGTACAACCACAGGGACTGAGTCTAAACTCCATGGTAGTTATTAAGCAGGCCCCTTAGAAACACCAGTAAGTGTCAACAGTTCACAATATTTGAGTGTGTTTTTTTCTAGATTTCCCGGTTTGCTTGTATCTTAAATAGTATTTTAATGTCTCAATTCAGCCAATGAAAGCAAAATATTTTAATAATGCACCTTTTATTTTATCCTAGAACTATGTATGCTTTGGTTAAGAATAATCTTATTATACTGCCTCTTCTCTACCCCCCCCCCAAGCTGAAATAGCAGGAAATTCTGCTCCAGCCATGTCATTTGGAGGAGAACATACGCAGCAATACTGGAGCAATGTTAACTTTCATCTTTAAAGAACAAAGGCAATGTGTCTTTTCCCTGGGGGAACAAGAAAGGCAAAAGAAGAAAGTTACATCAGCAACTCTAACAAAATCTAGGGTCAAATCAAGGTCAGAGCAGATAAAGGACGGTCTAGGAAACTTGAGGAAGTTCTCTCTCTTCTGTTCCCCATGCAAGGAGATGCATCTTCTTGAGTACACATTGAGTTTCACCCACTCGCTTCCAACAATTTGAAGATGAACCGTTTAAGAAATCCTGAAGGCACTATCATAAGTCAGCAGGTGCTGGGAATAAATTTCGGAAACGTTTTACTAGAAGAACATGCTGACTGAAAGCCCTGTTTAATGCTGTTTAAGGAAGGGAACACCTTCCATCAATTACTTGCTAATATTTTCAGTTGGATGATATGTTTTTCAGCTGAAAGTTCTTGTAGAGGAACTGTGGTAGAAAGTGTATGCTTGGTGTGGAGTGGCTGGATGTGGCATAACCAAGCACTCAAATTTTTAAAAAAGAAAGAAAGTGGAGGACTTTTCCTGTAAGACTACCAACTAGAAGCCAGACTCTCCATCTCTAAATAATATTCCTTTCACTCCTTACAACGTGCTGTCTGAAGTTCCCTTATTGGGAGAAAGGTGGCCAATAAATAAATAAATGAACTATTCCAATACCTCCATTCCACAACTACGTAGGCTAACCTGTATAAGATCAAGCAGCAAAATAAACACAGCTAAAAGAACAAAGATAAACTATAACAATTACATATATTTTAATAGGATTTAAGGTTACATGAAGACTTACAAAAGTGACTACATAATTTTAATGTCCTATAACACTATAACCAGTAAACGTATTGTGCTTATTTTTCTTATCATGACATTTCCTGTTATATATTTGGTCAATTGATAATACTTGTTCATTCAAAAAAAGGCAGAAAATTGTGTCTAAAACCCCACAAAAGTATTGAAACACAGTTAAGTAGCACCTGATGCTGCAAATAATGCTTAATGTTTTTTCAAGGTAGAGAGCCTCTCAAACAGATAACAACTCTATTACCTCATTTATCCTCTTCAGAGCATATCTGTGCAGTCTCCCAACAGTGCCTTTAAGTCTCTCATATGTTTTTTTTTAAAGAAGAGAAGGTGGTGGTGTCACATGTTTTCCTGCCAACAGCCATTTTAAAATCTGCTAAAATATTTAGTACATGAGGATGTCATCCATCTTGTTAACGTCTGGTTTATGATAGGATATGCTCCAAAATTCCTTGCCTGATTAACTGTTCACACTTCCAGCGTGGTAAAAAATGCTGAAGGAAATAAAAATGAACATCTCAAGATATTTGGCAAACATTTTAACTCTTTTGTTCATTCCTATGACAGACCACCTAGGTTCCTGCAGTGTGGCTTCAGCAGCTTAAATATTGGTAAATTGGAAGAATAATCGCATCTAATGTAGGGAAACATCCTATAGCAGAGAATAAATAGGGGTTTGGTAGCAGGTAAAAGTGGCCAAGAAATTGGAATGCTGATGAGAGGGAGAATCATGGCAAGACATACTATAGAATAGCTGCCAGAGGAAACGGGGTTAGCAGAAAAACCTATTTAAAATGCAAAAGAAAGAGGAAGAAGTAAATGAGGAGAAGAGGCTCTCTCAGGTGGAAATTCAGCGATTATCACAACTGCTGGACGAAACTAGAAATGTGTCTGATCACTGAGGAATGTAATACTCGTAAAGAAGGTGTGTTTTGTTGAAATAATAACAAAATCAGTGTAAGCACACAGAGCAGCTGGTCTTGTGGACCACCCAGAAGGTCCAAATGAGATAAAATTGTCAAAACGAAGGAGGAAGGGATATATATTACTAGATTTCATAGAATAAATGTTAAATTAACCCCAGGATTCATTCATCCCTATCTCAGATTTCCATTTAAAAATCATGATCCACCTACCACATAAATGCAAAAAAGATATAAGACCTAACCTGAAAAGAAGCCCTAGTATGATTTTTCAGGATGCTCGTAATATAAGCCCTACCCCAAAAATAAGCCCCAGTTAAGTGAAACCCCGTCCTCCACCCTTATGCAGTAACCAGAAGATGACATAACTGTAGATTGTTGTTCATGAAAAAAATAAAACATCCCCTGGAAATAAGCCCTAATGCATTTTTGGAGCAAAAATTAATATACAGTGGTGCCCCGCTTAACGATTACCCCGTTTAAAGATGAAATCGCTTTACGATGCCTTTTTTGCAATCGCTATTGCAATCACAAAACAATAATTAAATGGGGAAAATCTGCTTCACGATGATCGGTTCCCTGCTTTGGGAAATCAATTTTTCGCTTTACGACGATCAGAAAACAGCTGACTGTTGGGTTTCAAAATGGCCACCCGCTGTTTAAAATGGCTCCCCGCTGTGCTTAGGATGGATTCCTCGCATTACAGGCACCAGAAAATGGCCGCCCTATGGAGGATCTTCGCTGGACGCTGAGGTATTTCGCCCATTGGAATGCACTGAGCGATTTTCAATGCGTTTCAATGGGCTTTTTACTTTCGCTTGACGACGATTTCGTTCTACAGTGATGTCGCTGGAATGGATTAACGTCGTCAAGCAAGGCACCACTGTAAAGCCTTGTCTTATTTTCGAGGAAACACTGTATTTTTTTAAACAATAGGATACTGAAGTGATGCCTGTTATTTGCAATCTTACTATAAATACCTGGCTATTCTTCTTCAACAGAATTGTTGTGCCATCATCAATTTCAAATTCTCCATAGTCTTTTAAGCACCGCACCTGAAGAAAGAAATAGCAGCTAAGAGAAATTAGCTAGTCGTACATTTAAAATCTTGAGCATAAATTTGTATCATCATTTCACTATACTGGCTATATTGCTGGTAGCATAATTAAACCACAGAACCAAGAAACTCACCCTGATGAAGATACTATCTTTTCCAAAGTTCTTGCTATAAACAATATTGAATGCTGTTTTCCCACTTACTTAAAAGAATTTTTATTTTGTCTCCATCGTAATCATATGAAAGTGTATCTCCAGACAACAATAGGAACACAAACAATGGTTTCTGTTAGGAATAACAGAATGACCTTATAATGACCAAAATCCTGTTGCTTGGCATGGCAAATTGCACCAAAGTAAGGTCAATGAATCAATGCCAGTCAACTACTCTCTAAATGCCATTGATTCAAATAGGCTACTCTTCTACTGCGCTAAAGCACCATTTTTCGTCCAGCCCAGTTCTGTCAGCCTTGTTTTGCAGTAGGTCTCTTGTATTTCCAACTAGATTCTTCCTTTCCTATCCTGGCTTAATGGCTTCTCATCCAGATACTAACCAGACCCAAACTGGCTTTAGTTTCCCAAATCAGACAAAATCAGGTGTGTCCCAGGTGGTAGGTTTTTAACTGTTCAGGTCTGATGTATTGACGTTCTCTCCCTTGTTTTTGGTAAACATACATTTATTTGTACTTCAGTAAGTGGACTTCGGTTTTGCTGAACTACAGAATATAACTGTAGAAGGAGCAGCCCTGTTAATTCTGTGCAAGGATTACAGGTGAAAATATAATAAAAAGTAAAAAAAGACAGGAACATAGAGGCCCCGTTAAAGAATAGCTTTTATATTTTTAATATGAATTTGTGGATAAGTTCACTTCATCAGACATAAGAGTCTTTATGGTGTCACCATGTTTTTTCTCTTTTTTTAGCTTTTTATTTTGTTTTCACCTGTAATACAGGACGTAAAATTATGTTAATGGAAAATCTAACAAAAATCTCTGAATAGAATTTATACTGTTGGCTACAAGGAGCTACAATGTCCATTAAAGAAGAATCAGCTTTTAAAGAAAATTGAGCATCACACAGCTGTTATGTCAATTTTACTTACCTCAATGTACAAACTTTTAGGAGGTTTAATGTCTTGCGTAAGGTCCAGGCCATCTCCTCCTCCTAGAGATCTCATATAGGTAGCCAAAGATTTTTTATATTGGTTGAACCATACCATCTGAAGATGTAAAATGTTTCTTTAATTAGTCCTGAAGTTTAAATGCTGTTTCAAATGCTTAAAACAAGAACCGTTAAAAATTAATTGTACCAGAAAAGAGGCAACTAAAGGCTGCCTTCTCAAAAATATACCTACAATACCATCCCTAATTTCTAGTCCTTTCTGTAAAAGTAAGTACTCAAAAGCAGGCATGCTGAAATTCAGTACATTTTTATATCTCAGTAAATCTGCAGAATTAAAAAGTGACTATCACCTATTTAATCAGAAGGAGTAGGCATCCTTCAGTCTCGAGAGACTATGGTAACGTGCTCTGTATGGAGGTCTTGGAACATTTGTCTTCAGTGTGGAAGGGATGGTCACTCTTGAATTGGCTGAGAAGGCCAATTCGAGAGTGACAATCCCTTCCACACTGAAGACAAATACAGTCTGTTCCCTGTGCAGGGTCCAGCTCCCTGGTTTTGCTGGTTTTGGGGCGGCCTCTTTGCCTCGGCCTGCTGGACAAGGGTCTCTTCAAATTGGAAGAGGCCATGGTGCACCGCCTGCCTCCAGGCTGAACCTTCAGAGGTCAAGGCTTTCCATCTGTTGAGGTCCATTCCTAAGATCCCGCTTGCAGATACAGTGGACCCTCCACTTACGGAATTACAGTAATTCGTATTGGAACGGTGGCTGCAGGTCGAAAAGTCCGTAGGTCGATTTTCCATTGACCTACAATGCACTGAAAACAGATTAATCCGTAACCAGCCGTTTTTGTTTTGTTCAATTTTGGTTTTTTTCTGGTCTGTATGTCGATTCTCCGGCTGCAAGTCAAATCTAAATTTTGCAGCCAGAGAAGTCTGTAACTCAAAAAGTCTGTAAGTCGAGGGCCCACTATATCCTTGTGTCGCAGCTGTGGTCTCCCTCTGGGGCAATTTCCCTGCACTAATTCTCCATAGAGGAGATCTTTTGGAATCCGACCATTAGCCAATCTCAGAATATACAGTTATGAAAATGATCTAGCTTCTGTCTCTAAACTCTCCACAGGGAATCCTTTCCTCACTGACCCCTGCAAAGGAGGACCTGTGTATTTCAGGGATTCTGTGAAATGTTTTTATGTTACATGTTGAATTAATGAATTGTTACACTTCCTAGGCTTCACTATCTCTTCACTGGAGCTTAGGATAACCGTTAAGACACAGAAAAACAGAATGTAGAACAGGATCAGTACATGATTTGCTGTAAATCAGCAAGGGTTCCTGTCTCTGAATTATTTCTAAACATAGACAGTAGCTGGTTTATTTAAAAGAATTGTGAGAACTTAATGGTAAAATATCTGATTACCAACAGAGACATTCTATAATAATACATTACAATCCCTTTATATTCCGCCATTCCAACCTATTCACTGCAGATCCATGGCAATATTGGTGAAATGGCTGCTACTAAATGCTACTTGTTAGAATGAAAAAGTGTTCAGTGTCATGATCTTTAATTACTATGGGTTAAATCTGAAAGTATTAAAGCATATTTGCTATACTTTTTAAAAGTAAAAATACATCTTTCTTTTTGGCAACAACTTTCCATATCTAAAGCACGTATTCTGGAACAGGCTCCTCTCCCACAAGTGTCTATAAGAACACAGGCAATAGCCCAGTTACTTAATACTCTCTCTTCCTTCTTGTCTTTCCACAATGTTCAGTGTCCTTGAATCTATAAATATAAAAAAACTAGCTTACTTCATCAGCTGACATGTGAAAGCGAACAGTATTAGGCAGGACACTACCATATTCCCATCTAAGTGCTCGGATGCGAAGCAGGCGATCATATCTGTAGGGGGAAAATACAACGTAACAAACATATTCATATTCAGAAAAACACATGATTTAATACCTTAATGAATAATGAAATTATCTTAATCAGAAAGTTCTTGTAACCTTATTGTTAACTTCTTAATTCATACTGCACAAAGGAAAGTGTTGTTCTGAAGTTAGGATGACTATACAGTACTAGGGAGCTGGGACAACATCATTCAGTTGGCGTTTTGGTGTGAATTGACATTTCTTGACTCAATGTGTGAACCCTTTGGTTCTTTTATGTTCGCCTGTCTCCAGATTTTGCTGT